TGCAAACAAAGGTTTCTGTACCAAATATTAAGTTCTGCTTTTCTGATGTATCAAATACTTATGTCATGCAATAAAATGCAAATTAATTGCTTAAAAATCATACAATGTGATTTTCTGGATTGTTGTTTTAGATTCAGTCTCTCACAGTTGAAGTGTACCTATGATAAGAATTAAAGACCTCTACATGCTTTGTAAGTAGGAAAACCTGCAAAATCGGCAGTGTATCAAATACTTGTTCTCCCCACTGTATTAAAGCAACATCTCAAGACATCAGTCAGGAAGTTAAAGCTGGGTCGCAAATGGGTCTTCCAAATGGACAATGACCACAAGCATACTTCCAAAGCTGTGGCTAAATGGCTTAAGGACAACAAAGTCAAGGTATTGGAGTGGCCATCACAAAGCCCTGACCTCAATCCTATAGAACATTTGTGGGCAGAACTGAAAAAGCGTGTGCGAGCAAGGAGGCCAACAAACCTGACTCAGTTACACCAGCTCTGTCAGGAGGAATGGGCCAAAATTCACCCAACTTATTGTGGGAAGCTTGTGGAAGGCTACCCGAAACGTTTGACCCAAGTTAACCAATTTAAAGGCAATGCTACCAAATACTAATTGAGGGTACGTAAACTTCTGACCCACTGGGAATGTGATGAAAGACATTAAAAGCTGAGTAATTCTCTCTACTATTATTCTGACATTTCACATTCTTAAAATAAAGTGGTGATCCTAACTGACCTAAGACAGGGAATTTTTACTAGGATTAAATGTCAGGAATTGTGAAAAACAGAGTTTAAATGTATTTGGCTAAGGTGTATGTAAACTTCCGACTTCAACTGTACATACATGCATGCATGCATGCATACATACATACATACTTTTTTCCCTCACTGTATGTATTTGATCCCCTGCTGATTTTGTACGTTTGCCTACTGACAAAGACATGATCAGACTATAATTTTTTATGGTAGGTTTATTTGAACAGTGAGAAACAGAATAACAACAACAAAATCCATAAAAATGCATGTCAAAAATGTTATAAATTGATTTGCATTTTTAATGAGGGAAATAAGTATTTGACCCCCTCACAATCAGAAAGGTTTCTGGCTCCCAGGTGTCTTTTATACAGGTAATGAGCTGAGATTAGGCGCACACTCTTAAAGGGAGTGCTCCTAATCTCAGTTTGTTACCTGTATAAAAAACACCTCTCCACTGAAGCAATCAATCAATCAGATTCCAAACTCTCCACCATGGCCAAGACCAAAGAGCTCTCCAAGGATGTCAGGGACAAGATTGTAGACCTACACAAGGCTGGAATGGGCTACAAGACCATCGCCAAGCAGCTTGGTGAGAAGGTGACAACAGTTGGTGCGATTTATTCGCAAATGGAAGAAACACAAAAGAACTGTCAATCTCCCTTGGCCTGGGGCTCCATGCAAGATCTCACCTTGTGGAGTTGCAATGATCATGAGAACGGGGAGAAATCAGCCCAGAACTACATGGGAGGATCTTGTCAATGATCTCAAGGCAGCTGGGACCATAGTCACCAAGAAAATAATTGGTAACACACTACGCCGTGAAGGACTGAAATCCTGCAGCGCCCGCAAGGTCCCCCTGCTCAAGAAAGCAAATATACAGGCCCGTCTGAAGTTTGCCAATGAACATCTGAATGATTCAGAGGAGAACTGGGTGAAATTGTTGTGTTCAGATGAGACCAAAATGGAGCTCTTTGGCATCAAATCAACTCGCCGTGTTTGGAGGAGGAGGAATGCTGCCTATGACCCCAAGAACACCATCCCTACCGTCCAAACATGGAGGTGGAAACATTATGCGTTGGGGGTGTTTTTCTGCTAAGGGGACAGGACAACTTCACTGCATCAAAGAGACGATGGACGGGGCCATGTACCGTCAAATCTTGGGTGAGAACCTCCTTCCCTCAGCCAGGGCATTGAAAATGGGTCGTGGATGGGTATTCCAGCATGTCAATGACCCAAAACACACGGCCAAGGCAACAAAGGAGTGGCTCAAGTAGAAGCACATTAAGGTCCTGGAGTGGCCTAGCCAGTCTCCAGACCTTAATCCCATAGAAAATCTGTGGAGGGAGCTGAAGGTTCGAGTTGCCAAACGTCAGGCTCGAAACCTTAATGACTTGGAGAAGATCTGCAAAGAGGAGTGGGACAAAATCCCTCCTGAGATGTGTGCAAACCTGGTGACCAACTACAAGAAACGTCTGACCTCTGATTGCCAAAAAGGGTTAGTACCAAGTACTAAGTCATGTTTTGCAGAGGGGTCAAATACTTATTTCCCTCATTAAAATGCAAATCAATTTATAACATTTTTGACATGTGTTTTTCTGGATTTTTTTGTTGTTATTCGGTCTCTCACTGTTCAAATAAACCTACCATTAAAATTATAGACTGATCATGTTTTTGTCAGTGGGCAAACGTACAAAATCAGCAGGGGATCAAATACTATTTTCCCTCACTGTATGCATGTATGCATGTATGCATGCATGCATCCATCCATCCATCCATCCATCCATCCATCCAGTCAAAAGTTTGGACACCTACTCATTCAAGGGTTTTTCTTTATTTTTACTATTTTCTACATTGTAGAATAATAGTGAAGACATCAAAACTATGAAATAACACATATGGAATCATGTAGTAACCCAAAAAGTGTTAAACAAATATATTTTAGATTCTTCAAAGTAACCATCCTTTGCCTCTGACAGGTTTGCACACGCTTGGCATTCTCTCAACCGGCTTCACCTGGAATGCTTTTCCAACAGTCTTGAATGCTTTTCCTTCACTCTGCAGTCCAACTGATCCCAAACCATCTCAATTGGTTTGAGGTCGGGTGATTGTGGAGGCCAGGTCATCTGATGCAACACTCCATCACTCTCCTTCTTGGTCAAATAGCCATTACACAACCTGGAGGTGTGTTTTGGGTCATTGTCCTGTTGAAAACAAATGATAGTCCCACTAAGCGCAAACCAGATGGGGATGGCGTATCGCTGCAGAATGCTGTGGTAGACATGCTGGTTAAGTGTGCCTTGAATTCTAAATAAATCACTGACAGTGTCACAAGCAAAGCACCCCCAAACAATCACACCTCCTCCATGCTTCAAGGTGGGAACCACATATGCGGAGATCATCCGTTCACCTACTCTGCGTCTCACAAAGACACGGCTATTGGAACCAAAAATCTCTAATTTGGACTCATCAGACCAAAGGACAGATTTCCACCGGTCTAATGTCCATTGCTCGTGTATCTTGGCCCAAGCTAGTCTCTTCTAATTGAGAATTGCAGCAATTCGACCAAGAACGCCTGATTCACGCAGTCTCCTCTGAACAGTTGTTGTTGAGATGTGTCTGTTACTTGACATTTCTGAGGCTGGTAACTCTAATGAACTTATCCTCTGCAGCAGAGGTAACTCTGGGTCTTCCTTTCCTGTGGCGGTCCTCATGAGAGCCAGTTTCATTATAGCGTTTGATGGTTTGTGCGACTGCCCTTGAAGAAACTTTAAAAGTTCTTGAAATGTTCCGGATCAACTGTCTTAAAGTAATAATGGAATGTCGTTTCTCTTTGCTTATTTGAATTGTTCTTTCCATAATATGGACTTAGTCTTTTACCAAATAGGGCCATCTTCTGTATACCACCCCTACCTTTCCACAAAAAATTCCACAAATTAACTTTTAACAAGGCACACCTGTTTAATTAAAATGCATTCCAGGTGACTACCTCATGAAGTTGGTTGAGAGAATGCCAATAGTGTGCAAAGCTGTCATCAAGGCAAAGGGTGGCTACTTTGAAGAATCACTTATTTGGTTACTACACGATTCCATATGTGTTATTTCATAGTTTTGATGTCTTCACTATTATTCTACAATGTAGAAAATAGTAAAAAATAAAGAAAAATCCTGGAATGAGTAGGTGTGTCCAAACTTTTGACTGGTACTGTAGTTGTAATTTATGTTGAAATTATATTGATGTAAGTCAGGTTAATTTAATGTATTTTGGTTGACGTTTTACCCTAATTTCAATGTTTTACAACTCTGGTTGAAATTAGATGAAAACAGAACTGGTTGATGACTTTTTTCAAATCCAATGTATTTTCCACTTTGATTCTGTGTCACAATACGTTGACAAATTACATTGAAACAACGTTGATTCAACCAGTGTATGGCCTGTAGGAAGGCTGCAGCATGTCCTATTATGTAGCCATTCATTCGAGTGTTTGTTTTAGCAGTGATCGGAACAAGGATGAGGACATCTCTACCTTCAACTTTGACCCCAGAATTAGCTGAGATTACTACTGATTGGAAACAAGGGAGAAGGAGACATATATCATTATGTCTTTCTCATAAATACAAAATATGCATAACCTGCACTTAATAAAGTTCATATTTAAATGTGCAAATAAAAACGTAATTAAGTGCATGTTGGACATATTATAGCAGAAGTTATTAAGATGTTGAATACCTTATATCTAAATGAATAGATCACACTATTCAATGTTCCATAGAGCTCTGCACAGGAAGCTGTTAGTCAGTGGGCTCTCCCTCCACTTCCTGTAGCTAGCCCAGCACTGACCCGCCCTGTCTGTTGCCAGTGGCCCTAGGGCTCCATTAGGCTATGGGGGAGAACTGCTGAGCTATCAGCTGGTCGACATCATGACCGGGACATTTCCCCCTCTTCTATCTGCTGGGCTGATGGCTCTGAAAGAGCAGGAGTTTTTTAGTCCCTTGATCCTCCTGAGCCAAATGTATAGTCCTTGAGCCAGGTGGATGAGTGTTTCACCTTCAGTGTTCATTGAATAAGTTAAAGTAATCCAGCTTTGACATAGTAGTATTAACCTACCTGAAGCTGATGTTGCATCTCAATATTTGAGAATTATATTCTATCACAAAGCAGGATGTTTTTGTGCTGTTATAGAAGAGCCTTTACTTATTTGGTCTGACTTTACAGCCAGTGAAATATGCAATGCCATTTATCATACTGTTATGCTCTGCCTGCAGGACAATGAACTGGAGAAAATCACCAGAAGATTCACCATTGAGCTGGCCAAGAAGGGTTTTATTGGTGAGTAGTGTCTGTGTTCAGGGAAACATTGAAGGCTGCCGGTGAAAATGTCTGGCAGTAATGTGTATGTCTGCGTGAATACATGGTCCCCTGGAGTGGGGGAGGGGGGGTCTGCCTTCCACTTAGCCCATACCAACACAGGCAGGGTTTCATGAGCCCGCGGCGCAACACAAACATAAATAACCATGATGAGAGAGGGGTTAAACAGAAGACTTGACAAGGGGAAACTGTACACCAGAAAAAAGCTAACACAAAATAATCCACCAAATATTATTTGGGGATGTCAGAATTAAATAAGCAGTGCACATTAACTTCACGTTCTTTGTAACAATGCACTATCACTCCCAAGGACCTCCGCTTGTTTAAGAGTTATTTTAGGGTAATGCTTTGAATGTTTGAAGTGCCCGTGACCTGACTTCAGGCCTTTGTAGGGGGTTTCTAGCCTGACAAGTCCACAGTGTTTAAAAAGGCAAGAATGGCACTCTATCTCTCTATATGTTATTTAAAGCCGTAAATGTCGTCCACCTGGTCACTAAATCAGGAAGGTATCAGACTAGTCAGAGGAAGCCAGTTATTAAAAGGCATTCCCCAACATTCTTCCATAGGGGGATGAGGTGACTGTTTGTATAGCTACATGTCTTGGTTACACGTCATGTGACTAGACTATCTACAGTACACTGCAATAGCTTCAAAGTGGGCCATGAGTGCCTCTATCTAAATACAGTTCTACTGTTTCATACCAATATATTTAGATGGGTAATCATGTGTTTCAGTATGAGTTTGTTGTTGGTGTATTGTTTGTTTCTTTACTGAAGGCATTTTTTGTTATCCTAGAAGTTCACTTTAATCTAAATGATTTTCTTTCCCCTGTCAGGACCTGGCATTGATGTCCCTGCCCCTGATATGAGCACTGGAGAGAGGGAAATGTCCTGGATCGCTGACACCTACGCCAACACCATGGGCCACCATGTACGTGTTCCCTGTATAAACTCACTGCCCTCTCCCACAATAGACAGTTTCCACCAGCACATCCTATCAACTAAGTTAAACAGCTTTTAACAATTACTGTAAACCACTTAAATGAAGGAAAATGTCATATATAGAACTTTCTCAGCTGTTCCTCTGCTTGGTATATTTTATCACCATGAATCTGTTCGTCTTATCAACCTTATAACCAAGCAACTATGTTACATGACCACAGACCACAAAGCAGAACTGTGTACAGTAGCAAGTGGTCAAGTGATAAGTTATTCTGTGTGTATACTAGCCATCCCTATTGACTTTGCTGAGTAAATATTTCCAGTATGTCACTGTGTTTTTCCCTTATCCCTTTTGTTGATTTGAGTTTTTACACAAAGTTCTGCTGGACTTTTATATGACCCTTATTTTCCTGTCATTAGGATACTGTTCCAATTCTACTGAAAGACAAAGCTCTAGATTCCATTAAGTTTAACTGTCTCTTGCTGTATGATGCTTATGTGTTTTGTTGATTGCCAGGGAGGAGGTCAGGGAGCATCTCAACTGTACACTGGAATTTACCCTATAGCCTAGTCATAGAAGTTGGCCTCAGGCTAAAAACAGCACTACAGAGACAGGTGCTCTTGTCCTGTCAAGGATTAAGTTTGTCACAGTTTGAGGACAATGCTGTGCTGTGTCCATGCAGGCCTCATGGTTAACTCCCTGTCTTCCCATAGCAGTCATTAATGACCTTACTTTATCAAGACGTTTAGTCTGATTCATGTTCTTCTCAGAATGTAGACTGAAGATGTTATTGTGTAGTGTGTTGGCAATTTGGCCTTGCCAAGTGCATGTTGGGACTTTTTTGGCATTGTCTTCCAATTAGACTAGTTTCTGGGTTATATTGATGTTATTATTGTAAAGAGCCTTATCTTTATCCCTCGGATGATTTTGTCTCCGGTACATCCCAAAATGTGTCGACTTCACCATCCAGTGAGCCTCTTACAAGGTTGCCAAAATACGTATAATAAAATGGCCGTCTGCTGCATTTGTTTGCTTATGTGAAGTTGCTAATTCCACCACTAACGAACCACACGTTCCTCTCCTCTGTGTCCAGGACATCAACGCCCATGCCTGTGTGACAGGTAAGCCCATCAGCCAGGGGGGCATCCACGGAAGGATCTCGGCCACCGGGCGTGGAGTATTCCACGGCATCGAGAACTTCATCAACGAGGCGGCCTACATGAGCCAGCTGGGCCTGAGCCCCGGCTTCACCGACAAGACCTTTGTCATCCAGGTACAGACACAGCACTTATCGATTAGGAATGGCATTTGATTTACTTTCATCAGGTATCAAAGCACTTTACAGTGTATGGGGGGGGTGTCATTATAGTAAGAGGTATGAGTAGGGTTGCAAAAATTTACAAAAGTTACCGGAATCTTCAGTCATTTTGGTAATTAATTGGAAATCTATGGCAATCTATTGTGACTTTGGTCAATAATTAGACATTTTAGACTTGAATAACTTGTATTCATATAGTATTCATTTATTATATTGAACAAAAAATATAAAAGCAACATGTAAAGTGTTGGTCCCATGTTTCATGAGCTGAAATAAAAGATCCCTGAAATTTTCCATACGCACAAAAAGCGTATTTCTCTCCAATTTTGTGCACAAATTAGTTTACATCCCTGCTAGTGATAATTTCTCCTTTGCCAAGATAATAATCGTGTGGCATATCAAGAAGCTGATTAAACAGCATTATCATTACACAGGTGCACCTTGTGCTAGGGACAATAAAAGGCCACTCTAAAATGTGCAGTTTTGTCACACAACACAATCGTCTGAGACCAGCCACTCGGACAGCTGATGAAACTGAGGAGTATTTCTGTCTGTAATAAAGCCCTTTTGTGTGGAAAAACTCATTTTGATAGGCTGCCCCTGCCCAGTCATGTGAAATCCATAGATTAGGGCGTAATGGATTTATTTCAATTGACTGATTTCCTTATATGAACTGTAACTCAGTAAAACCGTTGAAATTGTTGAATTTATATTTTTGTTCAGCATATATCTGTGTCCATGTTGTCCATTAGTTTCTAGTAGATAGGCCATATGGTTCAAGAGAAAATAGCCTAATTAATGAAAGAAAGCATCTAATCAACAATGGCATTTTTTCAATTAACTCTGCAACTCTTCCAACTATTGACTGTCACACATTGACGGCAACAAATATATATTGACATTAAATTGTGTAAATAAAAAATTATATAAAGGATATTTTATTCTGAAACCCTCATATTAACCACCAATGGTACTTACTAAGTTGATGTTTTACAGCATTGTCATTCAATTTTATATTTTAAAATCATCTGATTTAATTATTTCATATACAGTGGGGAAAAAAAGTATTTAGTCAGCCACCAATTGTGCAAGTTCTCCCGCTTAAAAAGATGAGAGAGGCCTGTAATTTTCATCATAGGTACACGTCAACTATGACAGACAAAATGAGAAGAAAAAAATCCAGAAAATCACATTGTAGGATTTTTTATGATTTTATTTGCAAATTATGGTGGAAAATAAGTATTTGGTCAATAACAAAAGTTTCTCAATACTTTGTTATATATCCTTTGTTGGCAATGACACAGGTCAAACGTTTTCTGTAAGTCTTCACAAGGTTTTCACACACTGTTGCTGGTATTTTGGCCCATTCCTCCATGCAGATCTCCTCTAGAGCTGGGCAACACGGACTTTCAACTCCCTCCAAAGATTTTCTATGGGGTTGAGATCTGGAGACTGGCTAGGCCACTCCAGGACCTTGAAATGCTTCTTATGAAGCCACTCCTTCGTTGCCCGGGCGGTGTGTTTGGGATCATTGTCATGCTGAAAGACCCAGCCACGTTTCATCTTCAATGCCCTTGCTGATGGAAGGAGGTTTTCACTCAAAATCTCACGATACATGGCCCCATTCATTCTTTCCTTTACACGGATCAGTCGTCCTGGTCCCTTTGCAGAAAAACAGCCCCAAAGCATGATGTTTCCACCCCCATGCTTCACAGTAGGTATGGTGTTCTTTGGATGCAACTCAGCATTCTTTGTCCTCCAAACACGACGAGTTGAGTTTTTACCAAAAAGTTATATTTTGGTTTCATCTGACCATATGACATTCTCCCAATCCTCTTCTGGATCATCCAAATGCACTCTAGCAAACTTCAGACGGGCCTGGACATGTACTGGCTTAAGCAGGGGGACACGTCTTGCACTGCAGGATTTGAGTCCCTGGCGGCGTAGTGTGTTACTGATGGTAGGCTTTGTTACTTTGGTCCCAGCTCTCTGCAGGTCATTCACTAGGTCCCCCCGTGTGGCTCTGGGATTTTTGCTCACCGTTCTTGTGATCATTTTGACCCCACAGGGTGAGATCTTGCGTGGAGCCCCAGATCAAGGGAGATTATCAGTGGTCTTGTATGTCTTCCATTTCCTAATAATTGCTCCCACAGTTGATTTCTTCAAACCAAGCTGCTTACCTATTGCAGATTCAGTCTTCCCAGCCTGGTGCAGGTCTACAATTTTATTTCTGGTGTCCTTTGACAGCTCTTTGGTCTTGGCCATAGTGGAGTTTGGAGTGTGACTGTTTGAGGTTGTGGACAGGTGTCTTTTATACTGATAACAAGTTCAAACAGGTGCCATTAATACAGGTAACGAGTGGAGGACAGAGGAGCCTCTTAAAGAAGAAGTTACAGGTCTGTGAGAGCCAGAAATCTTGCTTGTTTGTAGGTGACCAAATACTTATTTTCCACCATAATTTGCAAATAAATTCATTAAAAATCCTACAATGTGATTTTCTGGATTTTTTTTCTCAATTTGTCTGTCATAGTTGACGTGTACCTATGATGAAAATTACAGGCCTCTCTCATCTTTTTAAGTGGGAGAACTTGCACAATTGGTGGCTGACTAAATAGTTTTTTTCCCCACTGTATTATACATGTTATAAGGCCCCACAGAGGGCCAGAGATGATTGCAGACACCTGTGATAATCTGAAGTAGCCAAAAGGCCCAGTAGATGTGATGGATTACATAAAATCCTTGAAAGATACCAACATTCTGGTAGTTTACTGGTAAACTTTGAAAGTTTCCAGTAATACACCCTCCCTTTACAACCCTAGGTATGACTCAGCACCTAACAGCATTTTCTGTTAGGGAAGCATTGCTCACTGCAGAGTATGCATCTACTGCAGCACTGCTTATATATCTACAGAAATACTGTAACTTATGACACTGAGACCAAGCATTGGGCCTTTATGTTAAACATACAGTGGGGTCCGGAATTATTGGATGCCTTGATAAATACGAGTAAAAAAGACTGTATAAAATACCTCTATCCTGCAGTCTTGTAATGTAATTATTGAAAATGCCATTAGGAAAACATCTTAGACCAGATTTAAATTAGTCCAAATGTATTTTTTTTTATGAGTCTGTAATCTAACTCATTCTTATCCCTTTAAATTCATACCTAATCAGCAGGCTTCTGCTTGCCTAGAAAGACTGAGGGAGGAACTGTTGCCTGTGATCTAGGTTGCTGACTGGTGTCTTTGTATTGGCAGCTGTAGTAGTTGAGTTGCCTACTTTCCTCATGAGTCCATAAAATATAAATACCTGAGTTATGTATGAATATGTTCCCGATGTTAAAAGGTATTGGAATATATATACAGTAAGGGGGAAAAAAGTATTTGATCCCCTGCTGATTTTGTACGTTTGCCCACTGACAAAGAAATTATCAGTGTAATTTTAATGGTAGGTTTATTTGAACAGTGAGAGACAGAATAACAACCAAAAACTCCAGAAAAACGCATGTCAAAAATGTATTTTAATGAGGGAAATAAGTATTTGACCCCTCTGCAAAACATGACTTAGTACTTGGTGGCCACTCCTTTGTTGCCTTGGCCGTGTGTTTTGGGTCATTGTCATGCTGGAATACCCATCCACGACCCATGTTCAATGCCCTGGCTGAGGGAAGGAGGTTCTCACCCAAGATTTGACGGTACATGGCCCCGTCCATTGTCCCTTTGATGCAGTGAAGTTGTCCTGTCCCCTTAGCAGAAAACGTGTTAATTGAAATGCATTCCAGGTGACTACCTTGCACTGCCCCCCCACCCCATCCTTTTTACGCTGCTGCTACTCTGTTAAGTATTTATGCATAGTCACTTTAACTCTACCCACATGTACATATTACCTCAACTACCTCAACTAGCCGGTGCCCCCGCACATTGACTCTGCAACGGTACCCCCCTGTATATATAGCCTCCCTACTGTCACTTTATTTTACTGTATATATAGCCTCCCTACTGTCACTTTTTATTTTACTTCTGCTCTTTTTTTCTCAACACTTTTTTGTTGTTGTTGTTTTATTCTTACTTTTTTTGTTTAAAATAAATGCACTGTTGGTTAAGGGCTGTAAGTAAGCATTTCACTGCAATGTCTGCACCTGTTGTATTCGGCGCATGTGACCAATAAAATTTGATTTGATTTGATACCTCGTGAAGCTGGTTGAGAGAATGGCAAGAGTGTGCAAAGCTGTCATCAAGGCAAAGGGTGGCTATTTGAAGAATCTCAAATATAAAATATTTTGATTTGTTTAACACTTTTTTGCTTACTACATGATTCCATATGTGTTATTTCATAGTTTTGATGTCTTCACTATTATTCTACAATGAAAAAAAAATAGTAAAAATAAAGAAAAACCCTTGAATGAGTAGGTGTGTCCAAACTTTTGACTGGTAGTGTATATATATATCAAGCTGGGAAGAGGTCTTGCTCAGAAACACCTAGGCAAAGTATTGTGTTAAATGATACATGCACACTGCTTGGTTGTGGTCAAATCATTATTTTTGGTTAGAGGTAGCAACATTAGAGGCTACTATAGAATGTTACCCAGGATGTTGGTATATTCCCTAAATAGGATACATAATAGCTTGTTAAATGTTGATGTATGGAGGACTGTCCTCCCACCTATAGTAGAATAGTGTTACAGCTAATTACAAGCTGTACTGGTGGGAGGCTGCAGCATGTGGTATCATTATCATAAGTGAACCATAAACCCACTGGACCAGAAGACACTACACTACTCATGAACAAGAACAGAATCATAAATGTGCATTCTGTACATACAAGCAGGAACAGGCTTAACAATATGTGACTTACAGAGCACTCAGGTCAAAAACAAAGGTTCCAACCTATGTTATTTTTTTTGTATTTTATTCTGAAACATGTCATTCTTCTTTCTCTTTTCCCAGGGTTTCGGTAACGTTGGCATGCACTCCATGCGTTACCTGCACCGTTTCGGGGCCAAGTGTGTTGGTGTTGGAGAGATGGATGGAAGCATCTGGAACCCCAATGGCATCGACCCCAAGGAGCTGGAGGACTACAAGCTGGTTAGTACACAATTCATATCTACAGTCACTAACCTGCAGGTCGACCTCTCTCTGGCTGTTTCATGCCCATGTAGAGAGCACAGTCTAAGGGTGCCACCTAGGGGATGTACAGTCTTCCTACACTCAAAGTCCTCCACAGACATACAGCCAACATCCAAGTGGCTCCAATGGCAAACCAGGATACACTTTGGTCCTGTAACTGTATGTCTCTGTCTCATTGTCTTTCTCTCTCGTTCTTCTCACCAGAAACACGGCACCATCGTGGGCTTCCCCAACTCCACACCATACGAAGGCAGCATCCTGGAGGCTGACTGTGACATCCTGATCCCCGCCGCCAGCGAGAAGCAGCTGACCAGGAATAACGCCCACAAAATCAAGGCCAAGGTCAGAGTTCAACAATCATGTCCAGACCAGCAGTCACTCTTATGACACATTTTACATTACATTTTACATTTTAGTCATTTAGCAGATGCTCTTATCCAGAGCGACTTACAGTTAGTGAGTGCATACATATTTTATTTTTTTCATACTGGCCCCCCGTGGGAATCGAACCCACAACCCTGGCATTGCAAGCGCCATGCTCTACCAACTGAGCTACACGGGGCACACTGAGTAATGTGCAGTGATTCCACATTTAATGCAGGCTAAAGTTATACACAATCATCACTGACCTCTATTGAACCTCACTAACAGTAGGAACATGTTTGTGGAAAGCTGGATTTGGTATGTATAGTGTATGTAAATCGTCTTTTGTTTTTCCAGATCGTTGCTGAAGGAGCCAACGGCCCCACCACCCCTGACGCTGATAAGATCTTCCTGGAGAGGAATATCATGGTGATTCCGGTAAGAGGCTGTATGCATATTTCAGACTGCATATTCATTTTTTCTCCACTTTCGCAACTTGTAGCAGGTTCGATTAGATTCTGTTGGTCCTGGAGACCTAGATATTTTTAGGGCCGTTTTCACAGACCCAGATCTAAACAAATTGGCCTAGAAGTAAGGCCAGGGCCCGTGTCCACAAAGCATCTCAGAGTAGGAGTGTTGATCTACGATCTGTCCATACAATTACAATCTTATTCATTATGAACTTAAAAGCCAAACTGATCCTAAATCAGCACTCGTACTCTGAGACGCTTTGTGGATACTGGCCCAGATTCTGACTTGGTAAGTCTACATTTTACATTTACATTTTAGTCATTTAGCAGACGCTCTTATCCAGAGCGACTTACAGTTAAGTGAGTGCATACATTTTCATACTGGCCCCCCGTGGGCTACAGTGAAGACAGGGATTTCATGGACATTAATTAGTTGGATTGTATACCTCTGGTCTCCAGAGTCTGACTCCATTTCTTTGAATGGAGATTAATCATAGTCCAGGAATACATATTATATTATTTATTTTTAACTTTTGTTTAGAAGTCAATTTTGTGCAGATAGTTGCTTAATCTGTCTCAGTGTAACTTACTCTTTGACTTCACAGCTCTTGATTGCCTGTTTGTTACAGCATAGCTGTAATGTTAGTGTTTGCAAACTAGTCCACCATGTATTTTATTCAGGACATGTACCTGAACGCTGGTGGAGTGACTGTCTCCTACTTTGAGTGGCTGAAGAACCTGAACCATGTCAGCTACGGTAGACTGACCTTCAAGTACGAGAGGGACTCCAACTACCACCTGCTCAGTAAGTCTGACACTTCCCAAACCGTAGTGACGCACTCGCTCCTGCTAGTTCAGTCTACTCTCTGTTATGCCACATAAAGATGTATTTTGTTTATCTTGTATTATGCTAAAGTTGTATTTATTACTGTAGTTCAAGCATTGAAATCTTTAATTACTTCCCTATGTCAAGGGGGGATAATTGTTAGAATGGGAATGAGGACTATTTGAAATTTCATAAATCATTGGCTGCTTAACCACAATGTTTTTTTTTTTTTACAGCTGTGACTTACACATTTAATATTTTTTTGACTGCAGAGTATAATATAATATAATATGCCATTTAGCAGATGCTTTTATCCAAAGCGACTTACAGTCATGTGTGCATAAATTTTTACGTATGGGTGGTCCCGGGGATCGAACCCACTACCCTGGCGTTACAAGCGCCATGCTCTACCAATTGAGCTACAGACACACACACGAAATGTCGCTCACAACAAAGGGAACTAACAAAGAAAATCACTGACAAACAAAACGGAAACAGGTAGGTTTTAGGAGGGGTTCTCAAAGACACTCATGGGGCTGTCCACCAAAAGTTGACTAGCAACAAGAGTCTGGATCCTAGTCTGGTCCTCTGTAGCTCAATTGGTAGAGCATGGCGCATGTCCTGCTGGAAAAACCAATCCTCAGAGTTGGAGAACAATGTCAGAGCAAAAGGAAGCACATTTTCTTCCAGGACAACCTTGTACGTGGCTTGATTCATGCGTCCTTCACAAATACAAATCTGCCCGATTCCAGCCTTGCTGAAGCACCCCCAGATCATGACCGATCCTCCACCAAATTTCACAGTGGGTGCGAGACACTGTGGCTTGTAGGCCTCTCCAGGTCTCCGTCTAACCATTAGACGACCAGGTGTTGGGCAAAGCTGAAAATTGGACTCGTCAGAGAAGATGACCTTACTCCAGTCCTCTACGGTGCAATCCTTATGGTCTTTTGCAAACCTCAGCCTGGCTCTTCTTTGCTTCTCATTGATGAAGGGCTTTTTTCTAGCTTTGCACGACTTCAGCCCTGCCCCTAGGAGCCTGTTTCGAACCGTCCTCGCCGTGCACTTCACCCCAGCTGCCGTTTGCCATTCTTTTTGTAGGTCACTTGATGTCATCCTACGATTGTTGAGTGACATTCGAATGAGTTGGCGGTAATCCCGGTCAGTAGAGAGTCGTTTTCGCCCTCTGCCGGTCTGTAGCTTTGTTGTCTGCTACTTGACCTTGTTCTTATGAACCACGGTCTTTGAAATTTTAAGGATGGAAGCAACCTGACGCTCACTGTATCCTTCTGCCAGTAAAGCCAGAATTGAACCCTTCTTTTCCTCACTCAAAACATTCCTTTTCAACTCTTTCGGCATGGTCAATAGTTATTTTTTGATTTAATATTACTTTTGAGGTACTATTAGCACTGTTTTTGCCATCCAGCTGGTCCTATTGTAAGAGGATAGTGATGACCACAACAGTGGTTTTTATACTTTTCCTCCTTAAATAAGATTTGGTTCATGTGATCACATAATCAGTACCTAATTCAGTAGAATGAGGTGTGCCTGTGTTGGAATTCAACAGACACTGAAATGGAATGGCTGTCATACATGTAGAGATGCTGATTTAAGGAAAATTTGCATTGGTCTCTTAATATTTTCCACAGCTGTGTGTGTGTATATGTATGTGTATATACAGTGGGGAGAACAAGTATTTGATACACTGCCGATTTTGCAGGTTTTCCTACTTACAAAGCATTTAGAGGTCTGTAATTTTTATCATAGGTACACTTCAACTGTGAGAGACGGAATCTAAAACAAAAATCCAGAAAATCACATTGTATGATTTTTAAGTAATTCATTTTCATTTTATTGCATGACATAAGTATTTGATACATCAGAAAAGCATAACTTAATATTTGGTACAGAAACCTTTGTTTGCAATTACAGAGATCATATGTTTCCTGTAGGTCTTGACCAGGTTTGCACACACTGCAGCAGGGATTTTGGCCCACTCCTCCATACAGACCTTCTCCAGATCCTTCAGGTTTTGTGGCTGTCGCTGGGCAATACGGACTCTCAGCTCCCTCCAACGATTTTCTATTGGGTTCAGGTCTGGAGACTGGCTAGGCCACTCCAGGACCTTGAGATGCTTCTTACGGAGCCACTCCTTAGTTGCCCTGGCTGTGTGTTTCGGGTCGTTGTCATGCTGGAAGACCCAGCCACGACCCATCTTCAGTGCTCTTACTGAGGGAAGGAGGTTGTTGGCCAAGATCTCACGACACATGGCCCCATCCATCCTCCCCTCAATACGGAGTCGTCCTGTCCCCTTTGCAGAAAAGCATCCCCAAAGAATGATGTTTCCACCTCCATGCTTCACGGTTGGGATGGTGTTCTTGAGGTTGTACTCATCCTTCTTCTTCCTCCAAACACGGCGAGTGGAGTTTAGACCAAAAAGCTCTATTTTTGTCTCATCAGACCACATGACCTTCTCCCATTCCTCCTCTGGATCATCCAGATGGTCATTGGCAAACTTCAGACGGGCCTGGACATGCGCTGGCTTGAGCAGGGGGACCTTGCGTGCGCTGCAGGATTTTAATCCATGACGGCGTAGTGTGTTACTAATGGTTTTCTTTGAGACTGTGGTCCCAGCTCTCTTCAGGTCATTGACCAGGTCCTGCCGTGTAGTTCTGGGCTGATCCCTCACCTTCCTCATGATCATTGATGCCCCACGAGGTGAGATCTTGCATGGAGCCCCAGACCGAGGGTGATTGACCGTCATCTTGAACTTCTTCCATTTTCTAATAATTGCGCCAACAGTTGTTGCCTTCTCACCAAGCTGCTTGCCTATTGTCCTGTAGCCCATCCCAGCCTTGTGCAGGTCTACAATTTTATCCCTGATGTCCTTACACAGCTCTCTGGTCTTGGCCATTGTGGAGAGGTTGGAGTCTGTTTGATTGAGTGTGTGGACAGGTGTCTTTTATACAGGTAACGAGTTCAAACAGGTGCAGTTAATACAGGTAATGAGTGGAGAACCGGAGGGCTTCTTAAAGAAAAACTAACAGGTCTGTGAGAGCCGGAATTCTTACTGGTTGGTAGGTGATCAAATACTTATGTCATGCAATAAAATGCAAATGAATTACTTAAAAATCATACAATGTGATTTTCTGGATTTTTGTTTTAGATTCCGTCTCTCACAGTTGAAGTGTACCTATGATAAAAATTACAGACCTCTACATGCTTTGTAAGTAGGAAAACCTGCAAAATCGGCAGTGTATCAAATACTTGTTCTCCCCACTGTGTGTGTGTATATGTATGTATGTATGTGTATGTGTATGTATGTATATATATATATATATATATATATATATATATATATATATATATATCAGTTGAAGTCGGAAGTTTACATACACTTAGGTTGGAGTCATTAAAACTAGTTTTTCAACCACTCCACAAATGTCTTGTTAACAAACTATAGTTTGTAATTTTTCCAACAATTGTTTACAGTCAGATTATTTCACTTATAATTCACTGTATCACAATTACAGTGGGTCAGAAGTTTACACACACTAAGTTGACTGTGCCTTTAAACAGCTTGGAAAATTCCAGAAAAGTATATCATGGCTTTAGAAGCTTCTGATAGGCTAATTGACATCATTTGAGTCAATTGTAGGTTTACCTGTGGATGTATTTCAAGGCCTACCTTCAAACTCAGTGCCTCTTTGCTTGACATCAGGGGAAAATCAAAAGAAATCAGCCAAGACCTCAGAACATAAATTGTAGACCTCCACAAGTCTAGTTCATCCTTGGGAGCAATTTCCAAACGCCTGAAGGTACCACGTTCATCTGTACAAACAATAGTATGCAAGTATAAACACCATGGGACCACGCAGCCGTCATACCGCTCAGGAAGGAGACGCGTTCTGTCTCCTATAGATGAACGTACTTTGGTGCGAAAAGTGCAAATCAATCCCAGAAAAACAGCAAAAGACCTTGTGAAGATGCTGGAGGAAACCGGTACAAAAGTATCTATATCCACAGTAAAACGAGTCCTATATCGACATAACCTGAAAGGCCGCTCAGCAAGGAAGAAGCCACTGCTCCAAAACCGCCATAAAAAAGCCAGACTACGGTTTGCAACTGCACATGGGGACAAAGATCATACTTTTTGGAGAAATGTCCTCTGGATTGATGAAACAAAAATAGAACTGTTCTGCCATAATGACCATCGTTATGTTTGGAGGAAAAGGGGACGGCTTGCAAGCCGAAGAACACCATCCCAACCGTGACGCACGGGAGTGGCAGCATCATGCTGTGTGAATGCTTTGCTGCAGGAGGGACTGGTGCACTTCACAAAATAGATGGCATCATGAGGAAGGAAAATTATGTGGATATATTGAAGCAACATCTCAAGACATTAGTCAGGAAGTTAAAGCTTGGTCGCAAATGGGTCTTCCAAATGGACAATGACCCCAAGCATACTTCCAAAGTTGTGGCAAAATGGCTTAAGGACAACAAAGTCAAGGTATTGGAGTGGCCATCACAAAGCCCTGACCTCAATCCTATAGAAAATGTGTTGCGGCTGTCTGTTTGCCTTTTGCAAATGTCAAAATACAATCGCAGGAAAAATGTACAGTTTGGAAAGCAAATGCCTACCCCTCAAAAGAGAAGACTGTCTGTGGAACGGCCCTTCTCACACACACACACACACACACACACACAGTACAGTGTTGGGCACAGCCCCTCCTCTGTGCCTGGAGATACACAACATTATTGGCAGTCACATTATGCAGAGTTTCCAGGAAGAGGTGGATGCTGACTCTGTCTGCAAGCCATGTCTGACACTCTCGCTCACCCTCTCTCTCTTTCCCGTCTATCAGCAGCATCAGTCAATGAGGCAGTCTCACATTGTGCACATGCATTTTCACACAAAAGCCCCCTCACTCATGATGAGCGGATTAGCATTAGATCTTTATCTGGCTGGTCCTCTTGCATTCAATTATGTAATCCAATGTAGGTGAGTGTTTTTTCATTAAATTGCAGGGGAGGATTGAGCTGGTGTTATGCTTGTCACCGAGTGGGAGGTTTTCTGAGTATTTCAGAAGCTGAATCCATTCCCCAGTCACATGAGTGGCAAGATTGGGCAATGTTGGAGACATGGTAGAGGGCTCAGAATAGATACAGCTGTGAGTTGCCAATCCCCAAAATGTTTGCAGAAATTGAAAATGTATACCAGATTATTAATGCAAGTGAACTAACTAATCTAAAGTTAGTTCACTTGCATTATGGTTCAGTGAGGATTCATTCAGAGGATTCATATAGACTACTACATATCTTCTATTCTAATACATATGAACTGTCTGTGTTCTCGCTCAGTGTCCGTCCAGGAGAGTCTGGAGAGGAAGTTTGGGAAGCATGGAGGAGCAATCCCAGTTGTCCCTACCTCTGAGTTCCAGGCTAGGATCGCTGTGAGTACAACCCTTCTCCCCCTATTATTTCAATGCCCCTGGATTACTTTCCCCTCATTCAAACAATACCCCTAAGATACAATATTATATACATCACAATAGACATTCAACAGGAACTGTTGATTTTGTTCTCTTGTAATTGCTTGTGTCTCAGTATTCACAAACAAAAACACAGACTCTTGTTGGACAGGAATTTTTTGCATATGCAATATACATAGGACAATAAATGTGTGCTTCATAGGAAAATAACGCCTAATAACACCTAATGTGAACTCCATTGAATGCATTAACCTTGTATGGGACACCAGTAAACAATGCAACCTGATCCTGATGACAGACTATCCCCATAGGGGATTTATCCTGGGAAAAACCACTCCCTCCCTCACGCCACAGTCAAACAGACTCGTTTAGGACAGACTTGTAAAATCAGATACATCCTCTGCTTGCTGATTTCCCCAGACACCATTTTGTACATTAGTCTCAAAGATTCACACATATTACCTTACTGTTGATAAATGAGGCTCACTGAATGACAGACTGGAGATAAATGCTTTGGTCCTGCAATTTCATTATAACCAAGTTTAGAGATATTTCATAGTTAAGCTGCATTTCTCTAGAGATGAGTAATGGTTTAGTTTAGTGGGCTAAATGTGAGCTCTGAGCCCTATTTTCAATGTATTTTCCTCTGTTTGGGTCCAGGGCGCATCAGAGAAGGACATTGTGCACTCAGGACTGGCCTACACCATGGAGAGGTCTGCCAGGGTAAGAGGCTGATTGCTTAAACATGATTATCTGTGCTAAACTGTTCCTCACAGGTACAGAGGTTTTATTGAAAGGAAATACTTTCTTAATCCAACACGAGGTCCTGAGGCATCTTATTAGGGGAAATAAGGTTTTGAAAGTTGAAGGCATCAAGTTCCATTTCTGGTTTACACATCTCATTACCCAAACAGCACTATGCTCATATTGCCTTTTCACTGCTATCTTGCCACTGTTTTATTTTCCCAATGCCAGCTCATAAAAGGAATCCCTCTTGAACATGCATGCGCGTACACACACACACACACACACACACACACTCCCTCTCTCACTGGTTTGCTGTGCGTGCGAGCAGAGCCTATGGGTAACTGGAGAAGCCAGGGCTTTGTTAGTCTCATTTGTTAATCCCCAGCTCTGATGCCAGAGAGAGCAGAGATAGCATGAGGATTCAGGCCATTACCGGCTCCTAATCACACGGACAACCCTATACCATTGACACACACTATCTATCCCACAAAAACAGGTGACTTTAATGTCACGTCTGACTGAGGATACAGCAACTGCATAATACAGGGTTACCTATACCGCCTCCCAGGAAATGTAATACTCTGTGCAGACATACTGCATGACAATCTGCTGGTTTATTACTTAGTTATTTCTATACAAGTACACATAAATGTTTTATTATCCTGTGGAAATGGATCACTCCATTGAAAATGGAACAATAGAGGTGTATTGCTGTAGGTAACAAATGGAGAAGGAGAGGAAAATAATGAATACTTGAAGGGAGATTTTATATCTTTGTTTATATTATTTGTTTTCTCTTCCTCTTTAGCAAATAATGCGTACCGCTAACAAGTACAACCTGGGCCTTGACCTGAGGACAGCAGCGTACGTCAACGCCATCGAGAAGGTCTTCAAGGTGTACAACGAGGCAGGTCTTACCTTCACATAGGCGGCACCTCCACAGCCTCTGTCCATCCGAGCAGACCCAGGGCCCCCGCCTCTCCCAGCCTTCATACAACCTTCATAAAATCTTTATATAACGTTCACGACATATCAAGCGTTTACATTTTACACATGACCATTAGCTTTACTCTTTGCATATGTATTACAAGCAAAGCGATACACACGTTATTTTGCATTCTCATATCGTCAAGAGAGCCCACATGTTCTAGATTGCTTTAAAACCAGTTGGGCTGTTATGAAGCTACTGTGTCTATGGTTATTTACGGCAGACCTGGGACCTGGGCTCTGACTAAACGGCAGACCTGGGACCTGGGCTCTGACTAAACGGCAGACCTGGGACCTGGGCTCTTAATTGCTTAATTGCTGTTGCTATATTATTGCTGGTGTACAGCTTTTACGGGCTAGTTCTTTAATGAATTAGTGCTGTGCTTGTTCAGTATCTGTTACGGACCTACTGTTACTTCACTGACAGAGTTTAAGAAATTAGTCAACATAATAGAATGTAGAGCAGAGACACACTAAAAGCCTTAATTGTACAGGTTTCTCCTCTGTTGAAATGGAGAAAGTTAATCATTTTTACCTATACCAGAATGTTCTCTTTCTATTTAAGGTCACCCAATAGGAGTTCAGTGCACTTACAGTATAAAGCAGTACACAATGTGGGCGTCTACGCTTTTCAGGATGATATCATAAAATACTGAACATTTGTTAGTAAGCAGATGTATTATATATTACTCTGTTGACATGACACTAAAATGATCAATTCCAGAAGATTGTTCTTTGTTGTTTCTGGTGCTTGCTTGGGCAGCCACAGTTTGAATGTCTTTCTCGCCGTATTCTTCCCTTTGTGTTTAATTTAGAATTTGACCAAAATCAAAATGGTGTTTGTGCTGAATCCTTAGGGCTACTGGAAGGGGAGAATATGTGGGAACAAAATGTTTATTTTTCTTTATCAGGCTTGATTGACTGCTTTGGGATTCTATGTAAGATCATTTGTATTGCCTTTTCATTGAAAATGAATTAAACAACAAAACGATTGATTGTGTTGATTCAAACCAAACTACTATTCCCGATGGGGTATGTAAAGAAAAAAAAAAAATCCATGGAGGGAAATCCTGCTTATTTTGTATATTAACAGCTAGTTATTGGCTGCATAATTCCCACTGTATGTATTTCATCCAACATTAACCTGCTCATAAGGGCATTCAACAGACTTTCGGAATAAATAGTTTTAATTACTTGTCAAATATAAAACATTAACATTACACAATGCAGTATAGGGTAATGTCAGTAATATTCTTCAAAGGCTATAACCATAGGTATGTCAGATTGATTGATCTGTTACCTGAATAGGCTCATTCCTAGCTCCAGATCCATAGGGGATATGTATATCAGTGAATTGCCGCTGGTGAGCAGGGGCATCATTGAGACAACATTGCTAGTTAGGAAAATACACGCTAGTTAGGAAAATACACGTAGACAGATGGTAAGCAGGCCAGAGCGGGACGATCGACATGGAGAGAAAGAGAAACGGCTTCAAAGTCTAACTCAGCCGAAGAGACCTTTCCCAAATGACAGCACTTCTTGGTCTGCGTTGCTGTTGTCCTTCTATTTGTTATCTTTCTCGCCAGACATATCTCCTGCAATGTCTCCCAGTAGGTCTGTCAGGTCTGAGGGATAGGCAGAGTTGATTAGAATTAATAGTTAGAAAATTATACAGATGGAGCTAATTTCTTCTGGTCTCTGAACAGCAGCAGCAAAAATCGGCAGCAAAGGTTCTATCAGACGTGGAGAATATACAGGAAATACAACAAAGGCAGTTTTAAAAAATTTCTTCAAAAAGGCACAGAATACATGACGTTTTTACTAAATAATACTATGTAATTTGTACTTCACTGTACTATGTAAGGCATTTAATTATAACCAAATTAGCTTCACCTTTGTCACCTCCTCCGCTACTTGACTCTGTCTTATCCTTGCCAGATACGAGACTTCCGATGCCTCCTCCCTCTTTGCCATTGTTGCCATCTAATCCTCCAATACCGCCGATACCTCCGATACCTCCACTGCTTCCCCCGTTGGACTCCTTCTTTGAATCATCTCCTCCAACCATGGGCTTCACCTTCTCTTTGCCACTGGTTCCCCCGCTGGACTCCTTCTTCTTTGAATCAAGCATGGTCTTCACCTTCACTTTGGCAGCTTTAGCTGCAAACATCACAAAGTGCACTGTTTAGAAATCTGACCTGAAGCAAATGATACATGAAATTAAAATGAGATTGTGTTATAATATTTGCACCTGACACCCTTCTACCGTGTTTTAAAGTTACAGAAACTGTGTGATATCATATTTGAAGATTTTTCAGAGAAGGCAACATCTGTGTTTTATTGCTTTGGTGCCAGATGCTGACAGCATTGTCTAACAACATTCAAAACCAACATTTCTTAGGCCTACATGTTGTAAATGCCTAGGTAATTACACTAATGCAGCTAGTTCCAAGGATAGCAAAATTGAACAAATAGGATATGTATAATTGAACATAAGTGGCTTAGCTTACTCACAATACAATTCTAAAAGACAAGTACAATATATTGCATTTGTATGCTTCATCGAGTGCTGTCCATATGTGTTTTGGTTAATCAGCACACGTTGATGTTAATGTACCAGTTACAGTCAAATCTTAAATGATTTCTCATCTAATTAGAGTAAATGAGAAACTGAAAAGCGAGGCTCAATCGATTTAAAGCGTGCTGACGTTTACGAAATCAAATTTGAAGTCACATGCTTCGGAAACAACAGGTGTAGACTAACTACTTATGGGTCCTTTTCCAACAATGCAGAGTTAAAGATCAAAAAGTAAAAATAGGAAGTGACACGACAAATAAATACACAGTGATTAACAATGACGAGTAAAAATAGCATGGCTATATACAGGGAGTACCAGTACCGAGTCGATGTGCAGGGGTACGAGGTAATTGAGGTAGCTATGTACATACTGTACACTGAGTGGAGAAAACATTAGGAACACCTTCCTAATATTGAGTTGCACCCCCTTTTGCCCTCAGCAGACTCTAAAAGGTATCGAAAGTATTCCACAGGGATGCTGGCCCATGTTGACTCCAATGCTTCCCACAGTTGTGTCAAGTTGGCTGGATATCCTTTGGGTGGTGGAGCATTCTTGATACACACAGGAAACTGGTGAGCGTGAAAACCCCAGCAGCGTTGCAGTTCTTGATGCACTCAAACCAGTGCGCCGTTCAAAGGCACTTAAATATTTTGTCTTGCCCAATCACCTGCTGAATGGCACACATACACAATCCATGTCTCAATTTTGTCAAGGCCTAAAAATCCTTCTTTAACCTGTCTCCCCATTTCATCTACACTGATTGAAGTGGATTTAACAAGTGACATCAATAAGGGATCAAAGCTTTCACCTGGATTCACCTGGTCAGTCTATGTCAAAGAACAGGTGTTTGTAATGTTTTGTACACTCAGTGTATATAGGTAGGGGTAGCAAAGAGGCTTGAGGAGTGATGGTTTTAAAAGACAAGGCCAGATCCTGATTTACTACAGCTGAAAGAGGAATTCCACTGAGCTGCTTCAAAGAGCGTTACTGTTTTGTATACGCATATCTGAGCACACAGGACAAAGCAGTGGAAAAACAACACACGGAAACAAGTCAGGTCTGTCCAAGCCTAGCAACCGTACTCAAATGCCAAGTTTTGTATGGCAGAGGCACAACTTATGCCAAAGGATTCTGGGTTTTACAAGTAAAGGTCTGAAAGTCCGTTTTATGTTGTGTCTAAAAGTGTATATTTAGAGGAAAGTGAAATTAATCTGCGTTTAATCATTTCCAGCTGCTGCCAGCCTCACTCCAGCTTATGCAAGGTATGAGAGTGAAACTCTGCACAAAATAACCATACAGAACAAAAGTAAAACAAACTTGTTCCAGCTGTGCGTCACCCCTTTCTTCCCCTCCTCACCCAACCTCATCTGCTCCCCCCTTACCCCATCTCCCCCTCAGGACTCACCTGCCGTATCCACTGCCTGGTCCACATATTTGTCTGCTGAGTTGCCCAAAATGCCTGAGAGGAAAGACATGTCTCTGAACAGTAGTCAGTAGTGTCCCTAGAGCAGTGTGTGTCGTGAGAGAATATGTCGGAGTAGTGTGTGGGGGCAGAGGTGGCCATGGAGTCTTATAGAGGTTGGCATTTTCTGTCCCTGAGCCTACGCCTCTCAGGGCGTTGCTGATTGCCAGATAGGTCAGGGTGTGGTAAGAGTGTGTATCTCAGGATGGTAGGTAGGGGGACTGGCTAGACTGGTCACACTGGTTTGAGGATCTGATTCTGAACAGGTGTTGTATTTGCCTAGTTACCTACATACTGTATGTAAATAGATATACTTTCATGACTCATTCAATCTTTCCTTTTTGACTACTTTTATCCAGTGCACCAGAGGGCTTTTAACTTGCTTTTGATAGTGAATTCCCTGACTGCTTGCCTTTCCCCGAATAAAAGTAGTGCAGTGAGTAGCCTCTGAATGTGTGTGTTGGGGGAGGCTGGGTCTTGGAAACTGGAAATGGAAAGGTTGGAACGCCGCTCTGTCTCCTCCCTCATTAGGAATGCTTGAAAGGCCGGATGATTCACCATAATGATACTCTAACTCTCAGAGATGAGAGGGGACAAAACGCAGTGGCCTGGATACAAATCAAATTTTATTAGTCGCATACACATACAGTGGGGAAAAAAAGTATTTAGTCAGCCACCAATTGTGCAAGTTCTCCCACTTAAAAAGATGAGAGAGGCCTGTAATTTTCAACATAGGTACACGTCAACTATGACAGACAAAATGAGGAAAAAAAAATCCAGAAAATCACATTGTAGGATTTTTAATGAATTTATTTGCAAATTATGGTGGAAAATAAGTATTTGGTCAATAACAAAAGTTTCTCAATACTTTGTTATATACCCTTTGTTGGCTATGACACA